TGTATTGAAAAGGTGTTATGAGATAAAACAATTAACTAAAATAATTATATAAAATACTTGATGGAAATAGAATGCATTAATTACCTTTGACTTTTCTTACTACTAATTCAAATATATAGAATGTCTTTTTATTTAAGTATAGATAATTATTTGATTGAAATAATAAAGTGTGTTAGATTTTAAATTTGCTAGACTTTTAATTTCATGATTGTTGGCCTATAACAAGAACCTTGGACAGATTATTTTTCTTATTGGAGTTGCATATGAAATGTGAATAGTATACAATCATGAATACACATATGATATTTGATAACTATGGAACATGACACTTTGTTGAATATTATATACGTTTCAGTTTATATTCCTCTAATTGAATTTAATCGAGAGAGTGAGAGACTGAGAAGGAAAAAAAAAAATGAGAAAAGGAAAAAAAAAATCGAGAGAGTGAGAGACTGAGAGGTGACCTAAATTGACGAAACTGGTGGAATTGAATGACGAGAAAGCTTGGAGGATGAGAGACTAAGAGCGAGGTTGAGATCGCTGGAGGGTGAGAGCGGGTTGAGAGCGCTAGTGGGAGAGAGCAGGGTTGACAACGCCAGTGGATGAGCAACCAACAATGAGCGACAGTGGTGGGTTCAGAGCGGCGGAGCGAGGTTGAGAGTCGAGGGTGAAAACCTGTGGCTGCGGCCCTGCGGGGTTGAGAGCCAGAGAGAGCTTGAGAGATGAGAGTTAAACAATTAGATTTAGGATAAGAATAATAGAAATGAAAATTTTATATTTTTAAGTTTTATTTAAATGTAAAAGTAAAACAACACTCACCAGCCTATAATTTTAAAAGTGTTAAAATTATAATGACACTTTATGATTGTCGGTGGGGTTCAGTTAGAACCGCACCATTCAGACAGAAAACCGAATCGCACCGAAGCGGTTTTCTAAAAGCCAAACCGCACCGTTAACCGAGCTTTTCAAAACTGCACCGAATCGGTCGATTCGGTTCGACTTTTCGTCTTCGGCTCGATTTTGCTCACCCCTAGGTTTGGAGATTGACAAATCTCCAGAACCGTACCAAAATATAGAGATCACTAAAATTCGATTTCTAGAACCGTACCAAAAAAGTGGTTCGGTTCGATATTCCAGATTATCGGAACGGTTCGATTCGGTTAGTCCGTTTCGGATCTTCAAAGATTTTTAATTATTTTCGAATGACTACCTAGTTATATTTTATTTTTTATGTACTTTAAAAAAAAATCCAACACTAGTCAATCCTTTATCATATTAAAAATTATATTTTATAAATATAATGTAGAATTAACTCTAAATTTTAGTTAAGACTAAATTTGTGCAACTAACATTGAAAATTTAAAATTCAATCAAAATATAACATAGTTTTTTCATGAAATAATATTTCTTTAACCGCACATACAATTTTCACTATAAGATAGAATAAGACTAAGAAAAATATCGACAAAGTTAAGTAAAGTTTAAATATTTTTTTATAAAAAAGATATTTCGTCGTTAACCTCTCATGTCATATTAAATTTTTCAAAAGAGAAAAAAATTAACTGTGGATAATATTAAAATGAGATTTAAGCGGAACTTAATTGTCATTACTATATTTTATTTATATTTTAAAAATTCTCAAATTTTATAATATCTAAGTTGACATAAAATATATTAATAAACCACATCTAATGTTATAATCCAGTTCTTAATTTCAATTCTTCAGTTAGATACGATATGAGATGATTCAGTTCGGTTCTCGTTACAAATATTTGTGAAATCTCCGGAATCGTACCAATTATTTTTTCGGTTTGGTTCGGAAAAAATCAAACGGTCAACGATTATTTTTTTTTTGATTCGATTTTCGAAACGGTTCAGAATTCTCCGAGTCTCATGCTCAAACCTAGATATAACTAATGTACGAGTGCAATTACTATTTTAACCTCATGAGTGATTTTAAAGCGAGCAATTGTGAAAGTGAAGTAGAGGATATATAATTGTAATCTCATCAATAATTAGATAACAAACAAATGATGGTTTCCCACGACAATTTGGTCACGAAAAACGCAAATTGACAACACAAACATCACAATAAACTAATCAAACAATTCTATCCTATCATGTTTTAAAAACAATCCTACCTCATTCCAATTTCCACATTATTAACGAGTCCATAAACCAACAAAACCGATCCAAAATGGTGGGCTGGGGCAAACATCTCTATTGCCACACCTAACTGACTATTAATTGTATTTTGCTGCACGTTTGTTTATATATTATTAACCAAAATTGAAAAAAAAAAAAAAAAAGAGTTATATTTATATTTCGATTAAAAAAAATAAAAAAATCAAATCAGATAATAGACAGAAATTCGAATGGAGAATCAGGTAATGAAGGCGAAGAGCAAGATCTTCAAGGCAGTTCAAGCGGCGGTTTCCTTCCAAAATTTCTCCTTCAGCCCGCGAGGCGAAAATCGGGCCGACAGGCTCAGAACCCATCACAGCAAGGGCTTTTCCGGCCCGATCGGCCCCATGATTCCGGCCGAAGCCCGGTGTAGGTCCAAAAGCTTCGAGAATCAAGAGCCCACGTCGCCGAAAGTTTCGTGCATGGGCCAAATCAAGCACAAGAAAGCCTGTTTACCGAAAGAAACAAAGCCCGGGAGAGGCGGCCCAGTTACGAAGAAGGATAAGAAAAAAGGGTCTGGGTTTAAGAAGATTTTCGGCGCGGGCGGTAAAACCGGCGGGTCAACCGGTCGGGATAAGGCGCCGGTTCTTGGAGCCGGGCCGGGAATGATGGAGATGAGGAAATTCGCCAGCAGCCGTGATACGTTTGCCAATTTCGAGTGGACGGCGGCGCAGATCGCGCCGGCGGACGACCGGGAATATTATTCCGACGGGGAGAGGGGGTACAGTGATGGGGACGATGACGTCATCGACCCTTTTTCGGCGCCGGTGTTGGTGGCTAGAGCCGGCTTGGATTTGGAGCCGAGGATGGAGATAAACTTGTGGAATAGAAGGGCCACGGCGGCTCAGCTTAAGCCTCTTCAGCTGAATATGGACAAGGAAATTAGGGGTAAAATATAGAAAACAGGGGTGTTATTTTTTTTATTTTTATATCTTATATTGGTTTATGTTTTTTTTTTACTTAGTTTCACCGTAAAATTGCAGAAAATAGTCGCTGTAAGTCTGTAAATATGAAAAACATGAAAAAAAATAGGGCAAAATGGCCTGTTTCCATATTTTCAGCTATCATTTTCTTCCATAATTTACTTGAAATGGAACCAGTAATCATTATAAAATTAAAATAAGAATGGCTAGTGTTTGAAATAGGATTTGTTTTTTTTTTTTAATTACGATTTCGGTATTTCATACTTCTATCGTTTTAATAATTAATACTAGTAGAGTAGAACTTGTATATTGCATCAGTACTTATAAAAAATTGATGGTTGTATTTTTTATTTTTATTTTTTTCTAACGACATAACTTGTCATAGCATAAAAACGCCAAATTGGCAATGTAACATAGTCCAAGCCTAAATCCTAAACAAATGAGAGGTTACACTAACATTATGTAACCTAACCGATATACCAAGCCATACAAAAAGCAGCTACAACACAGACAAAGACACATACACATTACAATGCAAATACAGAGACACTAAGGAAAATAAACAGCTGACACGAGACCTAGAATACTCCCCTCAGACTCATCTAAATTTCTTGAAATTCTCTCCACTCTTACATTGCCATGCCTATTATCTAGTCTGCTTTTTTCCATTTCTTCTCAAACACCCTCAAATTTAGGGCCTCCCACAACCACCAGAGGATATATGTTGAGAGCTGAATCCTTTCTTCAGAGGTATCCTTGTAATTCATAGAACTCAACCACCACCACCAATCCCTAAAAGTAGTTGCTTCTTCACCCATTCTCACCCAGTGCACAGGAGCAAGTTTTCATGTTTGTATAGCTCTAGTGCAAGTGAACAAAGCATGCTCCACAATTTCTTCCTTCTCTCCACAACAATGGCAGATTGTTCCCACCTTCATTCCCCTATTCTACAAGTTACAATTCACAGGCAGTATATTGGAGAAGCATCTCCAAATGAAATGCTTCACATTTCCCACCACTTTCAAGTCCCAGCATCTCCTCCTTGCTCTTCTGTTCCCAGCTGCAAGCCTGCTAGTGTCTGCCTTTGCCCCTTCCACTGTTGAGCTGCCATCAATACACCATAAGCTTTCTTGACTAAGAATATACCCTTATCCACAAAACCACACTTTCTAATATCAGCAACCCCAGGCATTAAAGAATCAATTTTCAAAATTTTGTTTGCCACCTCTTCCTGGAATATAATCCTTACCAGCACTTCATCCCATTCACAACCACTGGCCATCAGCAAGTCCTTAACTCAAAATTTTTAATATATTATTTTTTTTGTTTTAAGTTTAATATTATTATTTACATTATTAGTCATATTGAAAATTATATTCGTTGCTCGTGCAACTTGCCTTCGATATTATAATAATTTTGAAAAAGTATTACAGTAAGTCACATAATTATAGGAGTATTTCATAATTGGTCCTATTGTATAGTGTTTCTCAAAACTAGTCCATTAACTATTAAAAATCAATCAAAACTAGGATAATTGTAGCCAAAATTTTAAAATCCGGTAGTAAAAAGACACATCATGCCTACGTGTCTTATTAATCTTACCGCTCGGCCATTAATCTCCTGCCCGGCGGCTAACATGGTAACATATGAAAATCAATCTTATAACTATAAGGGTGTTCAAATATTGATCCATTTTTTTTCCTGAAACAATAGATCAAAATGCACAAATGTGCAAATACACAGCAGCCAACGGCTGAATACATAGCAGCCAACAACTGAAAAAAGTGGGAGGACAGGTCAGAAGACCGCTTAGAATCTCGACTAGTAATGCTGGAATAAAAATTATTCTCAACTAAACTAACCAGCTACACGACTACCGAACGCAAACTAAAACTAAAACAATTAAAAAGACCCCAACATGGTAATACTCGAGTGTCGGACCCCAACAGGATAATAAGATGACACTCGAGTTCACAGGGGCGAACGACCCAAACAAAAAACACAGGAGATGAACACACAGGCAAAGAGCCCAAAACAAAATACAACCTACTATAGAACAAGACACGGAAACAAAACACCATCTAAGAAAGAAAGAAAGCCCTTCCACGGCAAATCAGACGGCCCGAACCAGCGGAGAACATTCAATACCCCGTCAATCCAAGTCCAGCTGACGGCTTCCGAAACTGCCCCAAGGCCTATACAAAAATTCGAGCCCGAACACAGACCAAACTCCGAATCAACCTGCCTCAACCATAGGGGCATCCGAACCGACCCCACTCTAGCACCCCTGGAGCATGCCTAACCCCACTAGCCGAGCTAAGGAACACCAAACCCCTCCGACTAATACCACTAGCCGAAACAAGGAGGCAGCTCGGGCCCTCAACTTCGACACACCATCAGAGCCCCACCCCGCCTCTTGACCCACAGACCAGCCAATATCACCGGTTTCCACCGGCACCAGAATGAGAAGAACCCGAAACGGGGTTTCGCCGGAAAAAATGGACCACCAAAAAGGCCCTCCGTTCGCGGCAAAATATACAGAGACAAGAACAGAAGCCGAAATTGAAGAGAGACTCACATACAATCGAGACCGAAGGGCAAAAGACGCACCAATTGCAGACCAATCGACCACCATAGGGCTCGCCTCCTCCAATCGCAACATCCTCGGCGAAATAAAGGATTGGATAGACCAACAAACTTCAGCACACCGCAACAACACCAGATGTCTGGGATTGCAGAGGAGGGGCGGCTGTCGAACGTGACCACGGCCGGCGCCGCACCGTCGCCTAGGAAGGCGACGCGAGAGAAAAGATAGGCGCTAGGGTTCGGTATTTTTTTCGGAAGAGAAACACATAGATAAAGTTGATGTTAGTTTACATTAACCTAAAATAATCCATTAAAATAACAATATTTTTTTTTTCATTTCTACATAATTGAAAGAAAAAATATTTGATTCATATTATTAAGATTGCCATCTTTATTAATCTTTTCATAATATCATAACCGAATATTTATGTCATATAAATAAATAGCAGTTCTAAGTATATTTTAGGGTTCTGTTTTGCTAGTGTGCCATGAATATGTCCATACTTTTCTGATCTATTGGTGTTTGGTTGCTTTATTAGTATTATCTCTGCATTTCTCATTTGTCTATTGCAGGTAAGGTTGGTTGGTTTGGGGTTTGCTCAGTATGGAGGAGGAAGTGGTGGATAAACTAAAAAAGTTCGCATTATCGAAGAAAGAAGTCAAAGGAACTACGCTTGATGAGGAAGACATAGTGCCGGGGGTTCAAGAGTGTAAACTCAGTCTGATCGGAAAACTGTTTGGGGAGAAAAGGGTCAATATCAGTGGATTCCAGGCAACTTTGAACAGAATATGGTTTACCAGCGCTCCATACACAATCAGAAACATAGGGGTTAATATGTTCCAATTTATGTTCCAAAATGAGGAAGACAAAGAGAAAATTCTTCAGGGCAGAACATGGAGCTTCGATGGTCAATACCTCCTCCTTAAGCAGTGGGATCCTAACCATATGGGGTTCTCAGAGGAGGAGGAGAGGGTCAAGTTATGGGTCCACATTTTGAATTTACCTCTCCATTGGCTGTCAGCGGAGGTAGGTCTGAAGATTGGGAAATCGATAGGAAGAGTGTGGGAAGCTATAGTTCCGAATGTTGGCAGCAACAATGGTCGCGTGGTGAAAATCCTTGTGGAGCAGAATCTGAATGAACCCATTCTGAGGGGGATGAACATTACTCTACGACAGGAGACTCATTGGGTGGACTTCAGGTATGAGGGTTTACTTAGCTTTTGTTTTTACTGTGGTAGAATTAGACATGGGGATAAAACTTGTTCAGTTAAAAAAGAAGATATCAATAGTAATATGCTCAAACTAGGGCAATTTGGAGACTGGCTCAAGACTTTTGGGGTAAGTCAAGGGGATTCTAGAGGGTCTAGGCCGAGTCTTGGGGATAAATCAGGGTCTGAGGTTAAACTCTCTCGAACTCAGGCTAATGAGCACGAGATCAATGAGAGTGATGGTAAAGGTCACTCTGTTGGTACCTCTAGCAAAAGTGGTACTGAAGGGGTTAAAGACTTAGTGGTTAAGTCTCTTGATATACCTCAAGAGGTTGTTGCTGTGGCTGTTGCTCACAGTAATCCTTTAAGTCCTATTGTTGTGGATAATGATATGCTAATTGACTCTTCTAATATTTCCTCCCCTAACATTGTGGATTGTTCTGATTTGGTGGAAATCAAAATTGCTGGATTTAAACCTTCTTTCTGAAATGCCTAAAGCTAGAAAAGGTTTTAAAAGACAACCTAGAGCTGTTAAAGTTAGCCTCAGTGATAAACTACAGATTTCTAAAAAAGGCATTATTTTCACTGAAACAAATGACTCCCAACTTCTGAAAAGGAACTTTGAAACTATTGGAGAGGGTGTTATTGAATCTGATAATGGTTCTAAAAGGCTGAAAGGAGATGGAAAAGGTAAAGGTGTTGTGGTGGAGGAGGCCAACCCTAATAGGCCCCCCCAGTGTAAATGAAAGTATGTGTGTGGAATTGTAGAGGTTTGGGAGGACCCTCTACAATTTCCCAAACCAAAGAGATCCTAAGATCTCATCTCCCTGATTTTCTTTTTTTATCTGAAACAAAAAAAAAAAGAGTTTTGTTGATGTTGTCTTTAAAAAATTAAAACTGGATAATAGGTGGGTGTGTGTTGATCCTGTGGGTTATAAGGGTGGTATGGTTTTGTATTGGTCTAGTAAGGTGGAGATTGTGGGCATTGATTCTTTTGACTTTTGTTTTGAAGTGCAGTTCAAATATAATGGGGAGTCCAAGATCCATTGGGCTATTTTTCTTTATGCTAGTACTGATACCCATTATAGATCCATGCAGTGGAATTTTTTGATCAAGCATAGCCTTTCTTGGGGGGACAGTTGGTTTATGGGAGGGGATTTTAATGACCTTCTTTCCAATCA